AGTTATTTCAGTAGCTCAGACGAGACAGCGTAGAATGATGACAGTGAATAAAGAATTGGAAAGGATTTGGAAGGAAGTGGTCATGGCCTAATTCAAGGTTATCCTGGCATTTGTCTGGAGAGAACAAGGAAAAGCACAACAAACCTCAGTCAGTCATTGGGCTAAGATTTAAACCCGGGACCTCCCAAATACAAAGCAAGGATGGAGCAAATTACATAAAGTGGAGCATCAAAGATTCACACACTTTGCCAAGAAATATTAAAGCAATCAAGTGAAGTGTAATGGGCAGGACATGTAGCACACAGAGGAGGTGAGAAATGTTTACAAAACTTTAGTCAGAAAACCTACAGATAAATTACCACATGGAAGGATAATATTGAAGTGATATGTTTTAATACAAAGCAAACAGCATAATAATAATAAAAATATGAAATTCAGCCATAACTTACCCTTAATTTCTTCGTCAACGAATGGCATAATTGCCGCAGAACATTTCCGAATGATATATCTGCACGCATAATCCAAAAGAGGACACTGTTGATGTCTGAGTCTAGGGACCAGACGCCCAACTTCAACTAAATTTTCTTTCCAAAATTACGTAAGACAACCTGTCACTAACAAATTCTACTCTCTTAACTGCTGCCCTAATTCTGCTATGAACAAAAAAACCCGTCCCTAGCTGATGATTGTCATTCCCCTTTCCATAGAAAAATGTAAAATTGTCCACTGGGATCGTGCCCTCCCCCTCCCATCGCACTTCCTGCACTGCCACTAAGTCTAACTTATAATTCCCTAATTCCCTACCCACTGATTTCAGTGCCCCAGCCCTATAGAGGCTCCTAATGTTCCAGGTACCAAATCTCATGTCCTTTTTCAATTGCCGTGGTCGTGCCAAAGAGTCCGTCCTGATCCGAGGCTTGGTTGATTTTTTCGTAACACATATTTTTTTTAAAGGTGAAAGGTTGTTAGCCCTACACCCAACCCCCAACCTGGAGGACCAGGGTATCACTCTTAGTCTAGCGCATCTCCTTAGACCTGTCCGGCTTGGGTGACCCTACCATGAGCCGAAGCTCAGGCCGGCATAGCCCTAAGGGTCATTTGAGCACGCAAGCCTCCTCACCCGGCAGATTAACTGTAAGCAAAGAAAATCCTGGTTCAAGCAAGATACAATATACAGGTAGCCCTCGATTCAGAATAATGCCGATTTTGAAACAAGCAAGTCAAAAATTGAAAAAAATATATTTTACTAAAATTTTTAATATTTTACAATGTTTCTTGTACTGATTCTCATACTAAATCATAATTCTTACATCGCTGATTTTGAATAAGAATTATAAATACAGTCATCTCTGCAAATACGTATGTTTCGTTCACGGGATTTTGCTCCAATGAGATCGATGAATCGGTAAAAGCTGTTTGTGAAATGCAAACTTTTGCATATGCGAGTTTGCTCTTCTGCAGTTTCATTCCTGGCGCTTTAAACTTTCAAAGGACTAATTTAATCTCTGCGGAGGTAGCAGGGTTATTTTTACCACGCGACTTTCTATACTTCGGCGTCTTACATGAATGCAACTATCGCATAACAGCAGAGATGACTGTACACATCAACCACATGACAGAATCGCACTCGCGGGGACCAACGAATTACCGATGTATAAAATGTATTTTTAAATTCCCTTT